ATTTAATAACATAAACGATATTTTTTAAATATCATTATTTTGTGGTTGTTTGTGACACAAATAAAAGAATGTTTGTCCATGATTTCCCTCTCAAATAATTTATTTATTGCATTATAATATAAGTCGATGTTAAAAAAATAATATTACATATATTAAAAAAAAATCTTCGTTTTTGCATCAAGTTAAATCTTATATATATCATTACAAGTTATAATTATTTTTATGTATCTTAAGTTATGCAATTAAATTATTCCAAAAATATTAATATAATATTTAATTATACAAAGTAATATAGCTTTTTTCTAAAAAATTTATCATTGAATGAATATTATTTTTAAACATTTATATTACGCACTGATGTACATGTACATGTTATTTCTTTATTGTTTATACAGTGAGTGTACAGAAAATAGAGAATGTTTCACGTTTAAATGGACAGATAATTCAGATAATGCAAAGATTTCTAACATAAGAAAATGCCAACGAGTGTCGTCTCAAGTTAGAGACAGAAATGCACGTATGGTAAGTAGTTATTTATATAAAATATTGGTAGTGTTAGACTTTCATTTTATAGTGGTTATAACTGCGACGTTTAATATAAAAGACATAATCAACGATGTTTCCTCTGTAAAATACTTTAAAAACATTGAAATCAATAGCTTAATTCTAATAAATTAAAAAGCATATAATACATAACATTAGTTTTAGATTATAAAGTTTTGAAAATATATCTAAATATTTTTTTCTTACACACATTTATAATTTGAATTTAATCATTATACCATATATGATATCATAAGTGATTTTGATTAAAAAAACAATTTTTTTAAGTCTATGTCGTCAAGATCGATTTCAACCATTGAGAATATAATGTATTTGTGGATATTTGGCCCCTTTTCCTTTTACTATTTTAAGTATGAGTTAGGATCTGAACATATGATTGATTATAATGAGGTAAGACAATTAAATTCACACATTGCACATTATAAATTAAAGATATGTAACAAAGTAACATATATTATAATTATACGTGTAAAAATGTAATTATAATTATTTTTAATTCAAATTATTATAATAATATAAATTACATAATATATATAAAAGCGTCAACTATACTAATTTTTCAGACAATATGTACACCAGATGAAACGTTTCGGAAAAAAAGATCGCCTAATCTAAAATATGCGATTGGATTGATAGTTACACATAATCATAAAATGGAAGATAATACACGAAAAGATGTTGCTGGGGTCATTATTGGGTGGCACAACAAATGCCAAATTGAACGTTTTAGGTATAAGGAAACATGTTGTATTCTGGAAGATGTTGAAGAGCAATGTATACAGAAAAATATCATCGATAATTGGACATTGCTACCGCATTACGTTTTGTTAAGCGAGAATGATCTGTGTTACGTTCCACAATGTATGTGTATTATATGTAATACTTCATTATACTTTATATACTGTATATTCTGTGATATTTTTGTTTATATTGTTTATGTTACATGGCATAATACATTTGATACTATATTTTTTATTTATACGTTTTTATATTTTAGATGTTATAACATCGGTATGCAAAGAATGGATAAATAATCCAGAAGTTGGAAAATATTTCTGTAAATTTGAAGATACTCATTATGTGCCAAATAACATGCTAGGACAGCATTATCCAGACGATGCCGCAGTCGTTCGCGACATATTATTGAATAATCTAAAATTATAATTATAACGTTGTTGTATTTCAAATAATTATTTATAATAAATTATTGCCAGTCTGGTCGACTTTAAACATTGAGGAGTGGTTTTTTATTAATTATTACTGGCAACCTTAAGGATTATTATTTAAAATTATAATATTGTGAATGGTGCAGAAGTGTGTGTGTCTGCTCTTTTTTAGTGCGGATTGAAATTCAAAATAAAATGATAATTTAATACTAACAAGAGCAGATAAGGGTAATATAACTGTGGCTTTAGATAAAGATAAATACATCGAAAAGATTGAAGACATGTTAAGCAATGATGAAACTTATTTAGTTTTAAATAAGTATCCGATTAAAAAATTAATCTGGAACTTTCATGATTTACTTACTAGATGGAAAAATGACAATTACATTTTAGTACAGACATATCGTTCATTGTCATTTAGTGAGGGCCTTCTTATTATCAAATCCAGAATTTCACAAAGAAAATTTAGAGTTAGTAATCAAAATATTACTCGTAAATAACTATCTTCTGAAATTGATTTTTGAGATGATATTCATAAAAAGGCAAAATAATAGTTTTAATTAAAAACAGATATTGATGGCTTGCCAGTAATCTATGCCAATATAATACATAGACTACCTAAGATATAAAAGTTAAAAACATAAACAACTAATTATTTTCTTTGTTGTGTGGTCGTCTCTCTGGAGATAAAAATCATTCGTTATTGTAACGTCGAACAATCAATATTTAAAAGCCTTTACGTCACAATATAATATCTTACTCGATTTAATTGTAAGTCTATTTTTATTAATTTACTTATCTTTTAATGTTAATTTTTCGTATACAATGATTTTATAAACATATTAACAATTGTTGTTATCGAGATTCGCAACCGACCTCTTAACCGAACAATTAGCGAGAGATCTGTTTCGCGACAATTACATAGAATAACGATTCGAGAAATAGAATATATAAAAATGCTCATGTTTAAAAATGCGTTAATTTCGTTTTTTTTTTTTTTTTAATAGCTTGACGTAGTTTTATGCGAATTACTGTGTTTCTGTATAGTATTATTATATTGACAGTTACGAATAATTGATTGTTAATTTCTATTAATCTTTAATTTTAAATTATGCGCTGAAGAAAGTTGAAAAGAGCAACCAAAACGTAAGAATTTTTTTCTGTCTAATATTTTATGTTATAAATCTTTTTCCACAAATAAATCTTAATGAAAGAACTTAATTAGCTCTTATTGCCTTTTATATGTATATAAAAAAATTCAAAAAATATATTGTATATAGATTTCTCGGTAAATAATAACAAATCATCGTAAATATCTTGCAAAAGAGAGAAAATCCTTCTAAAATAGCGTGCATAAGAAGTTCATGTAGAGAGATTTATTTGGCAAAAAGTTCGGATCAAAAATTGATAATACGTTAGATTATTTAAGCTAACAAAAAAAATGTATATTAATAATATTAAAATTGTTTATAATCATGCGCGCACACACACACACACACACACACACATATTTATGTATTATTTATTCGATCGATTAATATCGGGTGTAATATATATGATATATAGATATCCTCGATGAAAGTGAGAGTGAAACTAATTGTAAGATGACTCATTGATTCCCTTAATAGGTTTTGATGACTTTTCATGTCACAATTAAATTTTCTTTTTATAAGAATAACGACAATTTATGTATAGAGTAAATTCATATAACATTATATTAAATGTTTTTTAATAAAGAAGTAAATTCATATAATATTATTAGGGTTTTTTTAATAAAGAATTGTCAAGAATTTGAATTTTCTAATGTTTTCAACAGTCAATAATTAGTACTTTGGTATTTGGTGATTGAGAAGGCTACTTTACTGCATTCTTTTTCAATTATAAGTTATATTTGATAAAGTAGAATTCAAAAGATAAACGACAATTGAGAATTAGAAATCTGTTGTCATAATTGTTCAATTTTAAAACAAGAAGTTAGAGTAAATTAAAGAGAACAGTGTGAAAAAAACTACGATGTAATCAAATCTTGTAATTAATGTAATGTAATAAAATCTTGTAATAAATATGCATCTCACACTAGTTTCTATATAAATAACATAATAAATTATATACAAGATAAGCCGTTTATCTCTTCCTTGGAAATAAAAAAGCGTCGGTTTTGATAGTAATATATTTAGATTTTTTTGCAAAATGTAAAAACAATTTTAAAAAAATATTGAGAAAAAAATCAATAAAGTTGTAATAGAAATAACTTAGCATACACAGCAAACAAAAATTGCTATTATTATATGTCGTAGATAATTCATCGTCTATAGTGTAAGACAAACAATAGAACAAGACCTGAAAATTGTACAAAAGAAAATAAATTTTTTTCCTCAATAACAAAAAACGTAGGCCAAAATCTCAGGATAGAATCCAAGAAAAATAGTTGTAAAAACTCCAAAATAATATATAAATTGCAGTTTTGTATTTTTAAATTCTCTACTCTAAGAAACTTTACAAAATAATATATATTGAAAATAAAAATGAAAATGTACATACAAAATAAATTAAAATGAAACGCAAATATGTTTTATTAATATCTATTAACAATTCTTTATTAATTCCTCAATTTAACGTACACGCAACTTTGAGGAATAGAGCTTTAGATGTTTATATATATATATATATATATATTACAATTGAGTATATAAAAAAATAATGCTTTGTCGTTGAAGAATCTCAATGCATGATTATGTATATAAAATTCGTCGTTTTTTATATTATATAATTTGTATGTAGAAAGTATTTTCTTTACAACTATAAAATAGATATGTTCGATTCTCAATTTAAGAATAATTTAAATAACGCTCATTGTATGAAAATAAATGTCATTACTGTAAGGATAACTTAATAGCCCTTTTGTAGGACAATTTTTTGCAAATTATTTAATTATAATAATCATTTATTTTATAAAATTTAATGTTAAACATCTTATCAAAAAAAATCAATCGCAAGAAAGTGTCTTTTCTTCCAGCATTTTCAAAACAGTTATCCTTGCACATCCAAAATTTTGTACAAATATCATATATTCACAATTTAGTGCATGTACGTTAAATTGAGGAATTAATAAAGAATTATTATTAAATTAAACAAAAATATATATAACACACGTACAATATGAATACAGCTTGCGGTTTTAATCTTAACGAATCGAATAATATTCTATGCACCAACTTCGCTCTATAGAAATTATGCACGAGGTTTACTGCATCCATGGACAGCCACCTTTTTTTCTTTGTTCCCTCCATCAGTCTATAGGTGTCCACGACGCGGTAAGCCACGTGCTTTCTACAAAGCGGAGTTGGTGCATATGTAGAATATCATTCAATTCGTTAAGATTAAAACTGCAAGTTATTTTTACTTTAACGGTATAATGATCACGATACAGAATTTATCGAACGAAATTATATTAAGTATTCTCGAAACCGAAACCATTAGTTTGAGCGATGTTGAAAATTTTAGTTCCACGTGCAAGGGATTTGCATGGATATCCCATTATGAAACTCTCTGGAAGAAAAAATATGCTCAGAGGTAAGTTTCTTTATGTATGAACTTTTTTGTTATTTTACTTGATGGACTCATCACATAAAAAGGAACTTAGCAAAAACCTAGCAAAAAATATATTTAAATAACTTTACGCAAAATACTGCCTTTTTGAAGAATTAAATAATAATATTCTGACATTTAAATTATATCTAACTGAATTTAAGATATTTTAAAATTTATTTATACTTAGCCTTTTTAAATTCGCAAAATTTTTGCAGATATTGTGTCGTTTTAAAACATGACTTGATTTATCTTTTAGAATAAAATTGTACAAAATTAAAAAAATTGCAAGTAAAAGTTATAAAAAAAAAGTTTGTTCAGCTTTAATGGATTTATGAAAGATTTTAACTTTATGAAACAATTTCTGAAGAAATAATTTTTTGCTATATAAGAATAATTTTAAAAATAGATTTTTGTTATAAGAATAATTTTTTGTTATATTATCGATATCTACACGTGCAATTGTAAGAATTATAATATAACTGTTAATAAGGTAATTTTTCGTATAACAATATAATTCAGAAACAAACTCGAAAACTTGAAAAATAATTATTTTATACAAAAGAGTATACATTTTAATTATAACTCCATCAGTAGAGAAGTTTCTAAGATCGCACCTAGGATTTCAGACATGCGAAAAAGTTTCTCTGTTAATTAATAATAATTTATATGACAAATATATATATATATATATATATATATATATATACATACATATATATATATATATCTGTGCACATATTTCATCGTGCTATGATGCAGTAATAAAATAGAAAACAAATTTTTTTATTATTTTACATTTCATTACAACATCGTCATTAAACATAAAATATCAGTTTGTCGCAATAAAAAACTGTAAAACAAATCAAAAATATATATAGTATGCGTAAATATGTATGTATTTTAAAATAGTATTTTGCGCAAACGTTTTGCGTTTTTCACATTTTACAATTTCCGGAATCTAAGAATCATTGAGCATCATCAGTTTCTTTTATGTAATTCGATTATATAATATGGGATGATAAGTTTAATTTTTTTAGTATAAAATTTGAAAATTTTTAAAAGTATTTTAAAAGTGTTTGTAATTTTAGATATCCCACTGTACAGCTGTTGTGTAAAGACAAAATGGGCATTCAATTTAATGATTTAAATATTGAAGATTTTAGAGAGGGTATGAAATGTGCGGAAAACTTGTGGCTTTATGTGCCTCGTATGTCTCAGATGTATTATTATCGTAATCTAAAGAAAGACTATATTAATATTAATATACCATTACTCGATCTGCATGCAGAAAAACACCCTTTAAATTTGCTGATTTTACATGATGAACTTATTAGAATTTTATATCATCAAGATCCACGGTATGTGACTAAATGTATTTTAAAATATCATTAAAAATCATTGGTATATTTAATTGATTATTCTGTATTTATTTTATAAATATGTACATTTTTCAGCCAATGCAATTTAACAGAAAGATACTACAGCAAAATGATATTTCACTGTTTGTATCACAACATTTTTAATTTTTTCCAATGGAAGAAAAATACAGAAAGACTTAATTATACGCTGAGTTTGAAGAAATTAATTGTCTTAATATTACAATATTGTCATCCTAATAAGAATATTACTATGTTGTATATAGATAAATTCATAGACAATATCGTGCAAGACGTATTAAAATTGTTGAAAGATAAATATTGTCGGCATCCAATATTGTCCATATCATCTGAACAATTATCGATTTGGAGAACAAATCGTATTAATAAGAATTTTTGGTGCGTAAAAGACGCAACGTCGATTAAGGATGTACTCGACATAATTATTATAAGTTTTGATTCTTATAAACCATGGATGAAACCGAATCAAATAAGTATGAATCCTATTTTCAAAATGTCGGTATGTTAAGTTTTTTATGTATGTATTTTATTATCTATCATGAATTATATATATATATATATATATATATGTAAAAATAATTATAATAGAGAATTATTATTATATTTAAGATAAATTAAAATATATATATATATATATTTTAATTTATCTTAAATATAATAATAATTCTCTATTATAATTATTTTTATTATACTTTCACACTTATTATTCTTCGACAGACTAAAGAAGACACATTACATTATAAACAAACGTTGTGGTTGGCAATATATATCTGCGTTGCAAATAGATTGGGTTTACATATTGTAACAACAAGACACGATAGAGACGATAATTATCCTCGAAATACGCATTTGGATTGGCAATCCGGGTAAATATATAATTTTATCTTTGAAATTATTTTTATTTATTTTGTCGAGTATTTGTACTATACGCACAAATAGTTATACGGCAATACTCACATGTGTATATATTAATTTATTATTATATGTATTAATTATTATATTTTGTAATTTAAAAAAATTTACGGGTGCCGACTTGTGTAATATTGCAACAAATTAACCAGTTAAGAAGAATCATAAACAATTATATATTTTGCAAATGTGTTACAAACAACCACAATATACATATCGATATTCACAGCATAGGAAGCAACCAATATAAATAAGCATTTCTTACAGACTTTAAACAATCAATATATACATTAATAACATAAAATGTTTGTAACAAACTTTAGCGTTATTTCGAACAACATAATTTTTGACCATTTATTTATTTCTGTTTATATTCTAATTTTCATCTGATAGCGGCTGAAGAGACAACAGTAAATGTTGAAATGTACCGTATTTAAAGATTGTAATTTTTTGAAATATAATTAAAGTTGTTTATATCTAACATCTATTTCACACTCTTCAAAAGGCTTATACATAATTCACTCTGTTGTTTCTATTTAAAATACGAACGCTAAAATTTAATAACATAAACGATATTTTTTAAATATCATTATTTTGTGGTTGTTTGTGACACAAATAAAAGAATGTTTGTCCATGATTTCCCTCTCAAATAATTTATTTATTGCATTATAATATAAGTCGATGTTAAAAAAATAATATTACATATATTAAAAAAAATCTTCGTTTTTGCATCAAGTTAAATTTTATAAATATCATTACAAGTTATAATTATTTTTATGTATCTTAAGTTATGCAATTAAATTATTTCAAAAATATTAATATAATATTTAATTATACAAAGTATATAGCTTTTTTGTAAAAAATTTATCATTGAATGAATATTATTTTTTAACATTTATATTACGCACTGATGTACATGTACATGTTATTTCTTTATTGTTTATACAGTGAGTGTACAGAAAATAGAGAATGTTTCACGTTTGAATGGACAGATAATACAGATAATGCAAAGATTTCTAACATAAGAAAATGCCAACGAGTGCCGCCTCAAGATGAATATAGAGTAATTATTTATATAAAATATTGGTAGTTTTACACTTTCGCTTTCTGATGTTTATAACTGGACGGACGTTTAATGCAGCGATGTTTGATATAAAAGACATAATCAGCAATGTTTTCTCTGTAAAATATTTTAAGAACATTGAAATCAATAAGCTTAATTCTAATAAATTAAAAAGAGCATATAATATATATAATAACATTAGTTTTAGATTATATAGTTTCAAAAATATATTTAAATGTATTTTTTTTACACACATTTATAATTTGAATTTAATCATTACATATATCATAAGTGATTTTGATTCAAAATTTAATAACAATCTTTTTTAAAGCCGTCAATATTGGTTGAAAGTACCATTTGGGATATATATGTTTTGTGGACATCTGTCCGCTATTCCTTTGACGATCTTTCTTATAAAGCAGCATCAATAATTTATTATGATGAGGTAAGAGAATTGAATTCACTTATTGTACATATTATAAATTAAAGATATGTAATAAAATAACATATAATAATTATATGTGCAAAAATCTAATTATAATTATTTATAATTCAAATTATTACAATAATATAAATTACATAATATATATAAAAGCGTTAATTATACTAATTTTTCAGAAAATATGTACTCCAGGTAAAACATTTCGGAAAAAAAGATCGCCTAATTTAAAATATGCGATTGGATTGATAGTTACACATAAGCATAAAATGAAAGATAATACACGAAAAGATGTTGCTGGGGTCATTATTGGGTGGCACAACGAATGCCACTTTGAACGTTTTAGGTATAAGAGTACATGTTATAATTTTTCATTTGAAAATATGCTTTGGATACCGAAAAATAAGATTGTTAATTGGAAAACGCAACCGCACTACGTTTTGTTAATCGAGAATGATCTGTGTTACGTTCCACAATGTATGTGTATTATATGTAATACTTCATTATACTTTATATACTGTATATTCTGTGATATTTTTGTTTATATTGTTTATGTTACATGGCATAATACATTTGATACTATATTTTTTATTTTTACGTTTTTATATTTTAGATGCTATAACATCGGTATGCAAAGAATGGATAAATAATCCAGAAGTTGGAAAATATTTCTGTAAATTTGAAGATACTCATTATGTGCCAAATAACATGCTAGGACAGCATTTTCCAGACGATGCCGCAGTCGTTCGCGACATATTATTGAATAATCTAAAATTATAATATTGTGAATGGTGCAGAAGTGTGTGTGTCTGCCCTTTTTTAGTCCGGATTGAAATTCAAAAGATATATTGCATATAGATGCTATTATTCGGAAAATAACAAATCATAGTAAATATCTTGCAAAAGAGAGAAAATCTTGTTAACATAACTCGCATAAGAAATTCATGTAGAGAGATATTTATTATCTGGCAAAAGGTTCGAATCAAAAATAGATATAATACGTTAAATTATTTAAGCTAAAAAAAAAAAGATGTATTAGTAATATTAATATTGTTTATAATCATGCATACACGCACGCGCGCGCGCACACACACACACGCACACGCCCACGCGCACGCACACACACACACACAATTATGTATTATTCATTCGATCAATATCATCGTGGACCAGCCATCTTTTTTTCTTTGTTCCCTCCATCAGTCTATAGGTGTCCACGACGCAGTAAGCCACGTGCTTTCTACAAAGCGGAGTTGGTGCATAGAATATCATTCGATTCGTTAAGATAAAAGCTGCAAGTTATTTTTATATTATTATATAATGATCACGATACAGGATTTATCTAACGAAATTATATTAAGTATTCTGGAAAACGAAAGTATTAGCTTGAGGGACGTTGAGAATTTTAGTTTCACGTGCAAGGGATTTGAGTGGATATCCCATTGTGAACCTCTCTGGAAGAAAAAATATGCTAAGAGGTAAGTTTCTTTATGTATGAATTTTTTTGTTATTTTACTTGATGGACTCATCACATAAAAAGGAACTTAGCAAAAACTTGGCGAAAAATATATTTAAATAACTTTACGCAAAATACTGTCTTTTTGAAGAATTAAATAATAATATTCTGACATTTAAAATATATCTAACTGAATTTATAAAATATTTTAAAATTTATTTATACTTAGACTTTTTAAATTCGCAAAATTTTTGCAGATATTGTGTCGTTTTAAAACATGATTTGATTAGACTTTCTGAATAAAATTGTGTAAATTAACATAATTGCAATTAAAAGTTATAAAAAAGAAAGTTTGTTCAGTTTTAAAAGATTTATGAAAGATTTTAACTTTTATAAGAAACAATATCTGAATAAATAATTTTTTGGTATATAAGAATAATTTTAAAAATAGATTTTTGTTATTAGAATAATTTTTTGTTATATTATCGATATCTACACGTGCAATTGTAAGAATTATAATATAACTGTTAATAAGGTAATTTTTCGTATAACAATATAATTCAGAAACAAACTCGAAAATTTGAAAAATAATTATTTTATACAAAAGAGTATACATTTTAATTATAACTCCATCAGTAGAGAAGTTTCTAAGATCGCACCTAGGATTTCACACATGCGAAAAAGTTTCTCTGTTAATTAATAATAATTTATATGACACAGATATATATATATATATATATATATATATAATATAATATAACTTATATATATACACACACACACACACACACACACATATATATATATATATATATATATATATATATATCTGTGCATATATTTCATCGCGCTATGATGCAGTAATAAAATAGAAAACAAATTTTCTTATTATTTAACATTTTATTACAACATCGCCATCAAACATAAAATATCAGTTTGTCGCAATAAAAGACTGTAAAACAAATGAAAAATATATAGTATGCGTAAATATGTATGTATTTTAAAATAGTACTTCGCGCAAACGTTTTGCGTTTTTTACATTTTAGAATTTCCGGAATCTAAGAATCATTGAGCATCATCAGTTTCTTCTATTTGATTCGAATATATAATGTGGGATGATTAGTTTAATTTTCTTAGTATAATTTTTGAAAATTTAAAAAAGTATTTTGTGTTTTCAATTTTAGATGGCCTACTGCACAGCTATTTTGTAAAGACAAAATAGGCATTGAATTTAATGACTTAGCATCATCAGTTTCTTCTATTTGATTCGAATATATAATATGGGATGAAGAGTTTAATTTTTTTAGTATAAATTTTGAAAATTTTTAAAAGTATTTTAAAAGTGTTTTAAATTTTAGATGGCCTACTGTACAGCTGTTGTGTAAAGACAAAATGGGCATTGAATTTAATGACTTGAATGTTGAAGATTTTAGAGAGGGTCTGAAATGTGCGGAAAACTTGTGGCTTTTTGTGCCTCGTATGTCTCAGATGTTGTATTACCGTAATCTACAGTGCGACTACATTAATATACAATCTTTTGATCTGCATGCAAAAAGCACCCTTTAAATTTGTTGATTTTACATGCTGAACTTATTAGAAATATATATCAACAAGATCCATGGTATGTGACTAAATGTATTTTAAAATACCATTAAAATCATTGGTATATTTAATTGATTATTTTGTATTTATTTTATAATATGTACATTTTTCAGCCAATGCAATTTAACAGAAAGATATTACAGCAAAATGATATTTCACTTTCTGTATCAAAACATTTTTGATTCTTTACTTTGGAAAACAATTATGGAAAGACCTATTCATATGCAGCGTTTGGAGGATTTAATTGTCGTATTATTACAATATTGTCATCCCAATGAGGGTATTACTATGTTGTATATAGATAAATTCATAGACAATATTGTGCAAGACGTATTAAAGTTCTTGAAAGATAATTATCGTCCGCATCCAATATTGTCCATATTATCTGAACAATTATCGTTTGGGAGAAATAATCGTATTAATGAGAATTTTTGGTGCGTAAAATACGCAAAAATAATAAAATATGTACTCGACAAAATTATTTTAAGTTTTGATTCTTATGAACCATGGATGAAACCGAATCAAATAAGTATGAATCCTATTTTCAAAATGTCGGTATGTTAAGTTTTTTATGTATGTTTTTTAATTTATCTTAAATATAATAATAATTCTCTATTATAATTATTTTTATTATATTTTCACACTTATTATTCTTCGACAGACTAAAGAAGACACATTATATTATAGACAAGCGTTGTGGTATGCAATATATATCTGCGTTGCAAACAGATTGGGTTTACATGTTGTGACAAAAAAACACGGTATAGACAATAATTATGCTCTAAATACACATTTGGTTTGGCAATCCGGGTAAATATATAATTTTATCTTTGAAATTATTTTTATTTATTTTGTCGAGTATTCGTACTATACGCACAAATAGTTATACGGCAATACTCACATGTATATATATTAATTTATTATTATATGTATTAATTTTTATTATTTGTAGTTTAAAAAAATTTGCGGGTGCCGACTTGTATAATATTGCAACAAATTAACCAGTTAAGAAGAACCATAAACAATTATATATTTTGCAAATGTGTTACAAACAACCACAATATACAGATATTCACATCATAGGAAGCAGCCAATATAAATAAGCATTTCTTACAGACTTTAGCTTTATAAATTTTCTCTTATTTTTAATATAAAATTTAAATGTGTTTAAATTAAATTTAAAAAAATTCATAAATTTAATTTGTACAATTGAAAATAAGATTTTGTACTTTCAACAAAACTAATATTATGAACAGGACAAATAATTTTTTATTGAATCAAAATAACATGACATTTTGACCTGTGGTTTAGATTCTTTTCAAATGCAGTAATAATTCAGATGACATAACAAGTACAATGCGATGAGCAAAAACTTATAACATGTTACAAATATAAAAATATAAAAATATATAAAATTAAACGTTGTGTCTAAAAAAACGTCTCGTATTTACTTTAATAGAATTTTAATTTAAGGCTTAGTTACAAAGATACATAATCTCAAAAATTTGGAACATTAAAAACATTATGACCTTTCTCGACATTTTCGCTGAAGAAAAATCGTCTCCAAATTGTCTGAGAAATCTCCCATTAACGTGCGAAACGCGAGTCATCAGACACCCGGTATATTTGGTGGATAATTTTTTTCATTTATATGTTCATTTCAATAGATACTTTTATGTGCAGAATGATTTAAAATTGAGAAGTCGACAAGAGAATTGGACAATCTTATTTATACAATTTTAAATTAAATTAAATGAAGTTAAAACTTATAAATATCTTTAAAAGTTATAATTATTTTTGTTATGCATCTTAAATTATACAATTAAACTATTCCACAAATAATAGATAATAAAATATAATATTAATATAATATTTAATTATACAAAGTAATATAGCTTCTTTCTAAAAAATTTATCATTGAATGAATATTATTTTTAAACATCTATATTACGCACTGATGTACATGTACATGTTATTTCTTTATTGTTTATAGAAAGTGTACAGAAAATAGAGAATGTTTCACGTTTAAATGGACAGATAATAAAGATAATCCAAAGATTTCTGACATAAGTAAATGCCGAGGAGTAAGTAGGTAGTAATTAATATTTATATAAAATATTGGTAGTTTTCGACTTTCACTTTCTAAAGTTTATAACTCCAAAACAGGATGGACGTTTACTTCAACGATGTTTGATATAAAAGACATAATCAGCGATGCTTCCTCTGTAAAATATTTTAAGAACATTGAAATCAATAAGCTTAATTCTAATAAATCAAGAAGAACATATAATATATAACATTAGTTTTAGATTATAAAGTTTTGAAAATATATCTAAATGTATTTTTTCTTACACACATTTATAATTTGAATATAATCATTACATATGATATCATAAGTGATTTTGATTCAAAATTTAATAACAATTTTTCTTAAAGCTTTGGTCGTCAAAATCGGTTGAAGTTGACAGTAGCATTCGGGATATATATGTTTTGTGGAAACGTGTCTGCTTTCCCTTTGACGATCTCTGTTATAGAGCAGCATCAATAAATTTGTATAATGAGGTAAGACAATTGAAATCACTCATTTTACATATTATAAATTAAAGATATGTAACAAAGTAACATATATAATAATTATACGTGTAAAAATCTAATTATAATTATTTTTAATTCAAATTATTATATTAATATAAATTACATATATATAAAAGCGTCAACTATACTAATTTTTCAGAAAATATGTACTCCACATGATACGTTTCGGGAAAAAAGATCGCCTAATTTAAAATATGCGATTGGATTGATAGTTACACATAAGCATAAAATGAAAGATAATACACGAAAAGATGTTGCTGGGGTCATTATTGGGTGGCACAACGAATGCCACTTTGAACGTTTTACGTATAAGAGTACATGTTATAATTTTCGAATTCATTTGAAAATATGCTTTGGATACCGAAAAATAAGATTGTTAATTGGAAAACGCAACCGCACTACGTTTTGTTAATCGAGAATGATCTGTGTTACGTTCCACAATGTATGTGTATTATATGTAATACTTCATTATACTTTATATACTGTATATTTTGTAATATTTTTGTTTATATTGTTTATGTTACATGGCATAATACATTTGATACTATATTTATTATTTTTACATTTTTATATTTTAGATGTTATAACATCGGTATGCAAAAAATGGATAAATAATCTAGAAGTTGGAAAATATTTCTGTAAATTTGAAGATACTCATTATGTGCCAAATAACATGCTAGGACAGCATTATCCAGACGATGCCGCAGTCGTTCGCGACATATTATTGAATAATCTAAAATTATAATATTGTGAATGGTGTAGAAGTATGTGTGTCTGCTCTTTTATAGTCCGGATTGAATTTCAAAAGAAAATGATAACTTAATACTAAGAAGAGCAGATAAAGGTAAGATAACTGTGGCTTTAGATTGAGATAATACATCGGAAGGATTGAAGACATGTTAAGCAATGATGAAACTTGATTAGTTTTAAATAAGGATCCGATTAGAAAATTAATCTGGAACCTTCATGATTTACTTACTAGATGGAAAAATGACAATTACATTTTAGTACAGATATATCGTTCATTGTCATTTAGTGAGGGAACATTAGCGAGAGCTTACGGTTTACTTAAAATCTACAAAGAAAATTGTCTGTTCAGACTAATTGTATTTTTTATAAATACTCCTTTATATCAGTTGGCACTTCACTTACACCAAATTATGAACAATTGTTTCTTTGTCTGTAATAGCCACATAGAAAATAGTTTCAAAATGGTTAACAAAATTTCAGATATTTACATCCATAATGACTACAAATTATTATCTCTTGATGTTATTTCACTTTTTACTAACATACTTATCAATTTAGCTCTCGAGAGTGTTTCCAATAGATGGCAATATATTGAAAATAAGTGCAATCTCTTTAAGTCTAAATTTTTAATTGGAGTAAGCCTCGTATTAAATTCTACGTATTTTACATTTAACAATGTTTTTTATCGACAATTAAAAACAGATATTGATAACTTGCCAATAATTTAAGACGATATAATACATAGACTACCTAAGATATGAAAGTTGAAAAACATAAACAATTAACTATTTTCTTCGTTGTGTGGTCGTCTCTCTAAGAGATAAAAATCATTCGTTATTGAGAAAAAGGTTTCGTTTATATTAACAAAATCGTTCTGATAGAGCGCTTTTTTGTTAAATAAAGCAGAATTTTTCGTTATCGTAACAGGATTTGAAACTGTATAACTATACCGTTTGGTAGACTTTACTATAAGGATCTGATTGAGTATTTCCTGTTAGATCTATAAAACTTCTGGTTATAATAACGTTACTTAGGGTTACAATAACATTAATCGCAGCGCTCTGCATCAGTGATGCGTATGTGTGCGCATATGTACATGGTCGTAGCTTGTGTGCGGCATCTTCTGTGCATACGCGGATGGCATGTAGACCTGAGCGGACCGGTAAAATTATTAGATGCGTATTAAGATTAATGCGTGAGTTCGACGCACGTGCTTTATTCTTTGTTTCGTGTCGTGCGCTCTTATTCTCTATATAAGGAATAATTTTGTGTTGTAGCTACTTAAGAATAATTATCGTTAAAAATAATTGTGTGTGTTTATCCTGTTAAGATAAATGGCGGATGAAAAATTATATATGAAATATATATGTATATTTTCAATATATATAAAATTATTTTATTATTTATAAAAAACACCAATAATCAAATTAAAAAATAATTTTTAACTAAAAAGTTGTGTTAATCTAACTAAATAAATTTAGTAATATAATCAAATTCTTTCTTTTTAAATCAATCAGAATTTTTTGATAATCTAACTAAATGAATTTAGCTATCTATCAGAATTTCTTGATAACTTTACTAAATAACTTTGGTTTTTTTTACCAGAATTTCTAGTTGATTTAACTAAAGAAAATTGACCATATTTGCTTGGTTGTTTCTACAAGAATTCTGATTCGTCTGTTTCTGAACAGAAGTAATGATTGGATCTACCAGAATTCCGTATAATATAACAAATCTTTTTTCTCAATGTATGGATAATGATTGTAGAATTTGGAAAATATAATGAATAAATCCTTCAAACTAACCATATTTTACTATAACTTTGAGAAACAATTTAAAAGATTATAATATTTTAAAAGATTTGACCATTTTCATATGCGAGGCAAAATTGACAGATAATCAAAAAGTATCGAACATATTGTGAGTAACCTTTTTTATTTAGCATTGAAGCAAAATTTGTATTCAAAACCAGAATATCTAATTAACAATAAACATTTAAATCATTTTTCAGAACATTGGAAAAAGACCTAATAAAAAAGCAATCTGACTTACAGTAAGTACTAAATAAACTTCGTGAATGTGGGCAACCGGGTCACGTTTAATAATTATTTATTTATATTTTAATAATTTTTCAGAGAAACTTCCAAGAAAATCGTGAAGGAACCATGTCCACGGATTATTGTCACCAAGGTGTCACATGTAAGTAATAAATAAGTAATAAATATAACAAAAACTTTGCATGTCCAAGTCGGGAATTAATTTTAATTTAATCTTATTTTTATTTTTATTTTGAGAAAAATATATCATTAGCAGAAATATCAGCAGAAATATCAAATACAGAAAATTGTAATTTGTAAGTATTCGAATTTATTTAATAATTTTCATATAATATTTTATTCAAAGCATTTAAATTTATTTTAATAATTTTTCAGACAACTGTTATAAACTAAAGACGTATCAGAAATTAGAAATGGTTGCAATGCAGAAATTGAATTAATACCATCATTGTCTCACATTTCATCATGGACAATGAGTGAAATGGGAAGTGATCCATTTATTTAAATATAACTTTATTGTAGATTAAATATATGGAAAATTAATAATTAAAAATATATATTAAATATATATTCAAACGTATTAAATATACAGAATCCCTTATTTATATTTATTTCTTATTATATTAAATTTTCTATTTTTCTCTTCTCTTCTCTTCTCTTCTTTTTCGAATCTTACTCTCTTTTTCATTTTTGCTCTCGCCAGCTAAAACAATTTGTAGATTATATTCTGAGATCATTTACAAACTAGGCATGCGTATTGCAATTTTTTTACTGTTAATGTATGTGGAACAATAAAATATAATAATTCACAAACAAATTATAAAAAAATCATTAACTTTAGAATTCAACGCTATAAATAAAATTATCAAGGAAATTAATGATAAGATTTATTTAGATGATTTCAGCTTTTGGTAGACTATAAATGTTATCGTTTAAAATTTAAATCGTCAAGCATATTCTTTTTTTTTACTTATATAATATATTTATTATTTTATCACTGTTTTTTAGCAAATACAGTTTTTGTATAATATATACAAGTTTCCTCTAAATCTTTTATAATTTAACGTTTGCTATTAATGCTGAAAAATAAACGAATAATCACGAATATTTGAAAGAAATCTGCCTCAAGTTGCACGATAATAAGGTGATAAAGTGCACATAAAAATTACTATGCACTTTTTTTAAAGGAGAGAAAGCGGAAAAAGGAGAAAAATGCCGTTATTAAAGTATCGAAATAATAGTTTAATAACACAGCGTGAGATCGAATTCAAATTCGATTATAAATTTCTAATTTCGCATACAAATATTAAACTTGATTACATTGATAACTTGTACGAGAGATATTCATGCATATGATTATCTTATCTGTATTATATTTACAACAGTGCAACTATAATGTAAGAAATAAATTAAGCAGCAGATAAGAAATTGTTATCAAGATAATTATTAAGTTAAATATTTGCATGTTTCAGTAAATTTAATAAATATATTTTTTCGCGCCACACATTATTCTTTCGCATTTACATTCTTTATCGTTCCACCAAAACTTATTCATTAAAAGCAATAAATTAAATAAAGCACACAAAAATTCATAAAAAAGCGAATTGATATCTCAAATTTTTTACTGAACTGAATAAGCAAGCAATAATTTTCTTTACCCGTATTTTTCGAAACTTTTCCTTTCACGTCGCTAAAATTGTGTTGATACTCAAAATAGCATTTTCATAAGCCAATAGATTATTTGTCATTCCTCAATTATGGTCCAAAAGAGAATATGTTGCAGATAATAGTCGGATTTTTATCGATGGAACGACGTTGCTGGACGTGTGATGTTTTATTTCTTATCATCTTGTCGCGGACGTAAATTGCTGCTTGTCCTTGATAGTCCGTGATAGACAAATTTATCTATTCCTTTATGGTCCTGATCAATTGGATAATGGAGACTTGGAAATTTGCTTCGTATACACATTGGATGAATTTTCTGTGTAACATAGAATCCTGAAGATGATGATTCTAGATGTCATTTATCTCAGCACGAAGCCATCTGATGAGTGAGAGCCACATTAGTTCTTGACAAAATTATTCGCTGGAAGAAAATAAAATTATGTCCACTTCTTCAAAAAAATGTGCGAACAACGTAAATTTTTAAGATTTTCTAGATTCTTACGTTATTTAATTTAAATAAGATGAGCTGCATATTTATTATGAAATTTTGTTGCTTCATCTTGATTGTAAATGTTGACAAAATATATTAAATTCTCTTATTTTTTATGCAATTTAATAACTGCATTTGACGAGTAACGTTTCTTCTTTTTTGCAGGAGTCGTGCTTGGATTTTATATCTTCAGCCACTTGTCCTATTTGATTTTCTTCGTAAACGCCATGTTGCTTGAGCTAGCCATTTTGTACTCGTATGATTTAAGTAGCAAACATCACCATGACAGCAACAGATGTTCTCCGGCATCAATTCTTCTTCTTCTTATTTTTTCGTTGACAAGGAACAGATGAATAGTTAAGAACTAGAAATACTTGACAAAGAATCACAATATAACAAAAGATTAATTTCAGAGATGATATTCATAAAAAGGCAAAATAACAGTCTTAATTTAAAAACAGATATTGATGGCTTGCCAGTAATTTATGACGATATAATACATAGACTACCTAAGATCATGATATAAAGACAAGGGTATGCTTATGCACATAGTAACGCCAGCTAACCAATGAGAATTGCAGCCTGACTACGTCATCATTAGGCGTCAAATTCGAAGCGCTTATTCTTATGTTTGCCGAGTACACGTAGAGAAACTGAAAAATAATCACTGCCACTGGTGATAATCAGTAAAATAAAATATATAATACATAATTAAGTAAACAATAAACAATGTAATTACGGAATAAACGAAAGGCTCACAAGAGTAATGAATAAAAAGTGTCACATCAGTTTATAACAACCACGCGCTTGTATGCCTGCAGCAGTCATATTTTATCGGCCGAAGTGATCCGAACGTAGCCGAGGCTGTACGAATGTGACGTTGGCAGGCTGCTGCGCAAGAATGTCTTAAATTCGTCCACCGAATGAGCATACCCTTGTCTTTATATCATGCCTAAAATGTGAAAGTTAAAAAACAAAAACTAACTATTTTCTCCGTTGTGTGGTCGTCTCTCTGAAAGATAAAAATCATTCGTTATTGTAACCTCGAGCAATCAACATCTGAAAGCCTTCACGTCACAATATAATATCTTACTCGATTATGTATTATTCATTCGATCGATTAATATCGGGTGTAATATATATGATAGATATCCTTGATGCAAGTGAGAGTGACACTAATTGTAACATGACTCATTGATTCCTTTAATAAGTTTTGATGACTTTTCATGTCACAATTAAATTTTCTTTTTATAAGAATAACGACAATTTATGTATAGAGTAAATTCATATAACATTATTAGGGTTTTTTTAATAAAGGAGTAAATTCATATAATATTATTAAGGTTTTTTTAATAAAGAATTGTCAAGAATTTTCTAATGTTTTCAACAGTCAATAATTAGTACTTTGGTATTTGTTGATTGAGAAGGCTTTACTTTACTGCATTCTTTTTCAATTATAAGTTATATTTGATAAAGTAGAATTCAAAAGATAAACGACAATTGAGAATTAGAATTCTGTTGTCATAATTGTTTAATTTTAAAACAAGAAAATAGAGTAAATTCAAGAGAACAATGTGAAAAAAACTACGATGTAATAAAATCTTGTAGTAAATATGCATCTCACACTAGTTTTTATATAAATAACATAATAAATTATATACAAGATAAGCCGCTTATCTCTTCCTTGGAAATAAAAAACGTCAGTTTAATAGAAATATATTTAGATTTTTTTACAGAATATAAAAACAATTTTAAAATAATATTAAAAAAAAAATCAATAAAGTTGTAATAGAATTAACTTAGCATACGCAGCAAAAGTTGCTATTATTTTATGTCGTAGATAATTCATAGTCTATAGTGTAAGACAAACAATAGAACAAGACCTGAAAATTGTACAAAAGAAAATACATTTTTTTCCCCACTAACAAAAAACGTAGGCCAAAATCTCAGGATAGAGTCCAAGAAAAATAGTTGTGAAAACTCCAAAAATAATAATAAATTGCAGTTCTTTATCAATTCCTCAATTTAACGTACACGCAACTTTGAGGAATAGAGCTTTACATATTTATATATATATATATATATATATATATATATATATATATATATATTTGAGTATATAAAAAATAATCTTTGATCGTTGAAGAATAATCAATGCATTGTATTATGTATATAAAATTCGTTGTTTTTATCATTAATATAATTTGTATGTAAAGGAAGTATTTTCTTTTCAACTGCAATTATTTAATTTATCTATTATATTTAAGAATAATTTAAATAAGCACCATTGTATAAAAATTTTGTCATCACTTTATGGAAACTTAAAACGCTTTAGTAGAACCATTTGTTGCAAATATATTTAATTATAATAATATTTATGTTTTTAAATTTATTGTTAAATATTTATTAAAAAAAATATATAAGAAATTGTATTTTCTTTACGCAAATTCTGACAAAATTATTTGCAGATATTGTGTCGTTTTAAAACATGACTTGATTAAACTTTCTGAATAAAATTGTGCAAATAAAAAAAATTGCAACTAAAAATTATAAAAAAGAAAGTTTGTTCAGTTTTAAAAGATTTATGAAAGATATTAACTTTTATAAGAAACAATTTCTGAAAAAACAATTTTTTGGTATATAAGAATAATTTTAAGAATAGATTTTTGTTATAAGAATAATTTTTTGTTATATTATCGATATCTACTCGTGCAATTGTAAGAATAATAATATAACTGTTAATAAGGTAATTTTTCGTATAACGATATAATTCAAAAACAAACTCGAAAACTTGAAAAATAATTATTTTATACAAAAGTGTATACATTTTAATTATAACTTCATCAGTAGAGAAGTTTCTAAGATCGCATCTAGGATTTCAGACATGCGAAAAAGTTTCTCTGTTAATTAATAATAATTTATATAATATATATATATATATATATATATATATATATATATATATACATATATATATATATTTGTGCACATATTTCATCGTGCTATGATGCAGTAATAAAATAGAAAACAAATTTTTTATTATTTTACATTCCATTACAACATCGTCATTAAACATAAAATATCAGTTTGTCGCAATAAAAAACTGTAAAACAAATCAAAAATATATAGTATGCGTAAATATGTATGTATTTTAAAATAGTATTTTGCGCAAACGTTTTGCGTTTTTCACATTTTAGAATTTCCGGAATCTAAGAATCATTGAGCATCATTAGTTTCTTCTATTTGATTCGAATATATAATATGGGATGATAAGTTTAATTTTTTTAGTATAAATTTTTAAAATTTTTAAAATTTTTTAAAGTATTTTAAAAGTGTTTGTAATTTTAGATATCCCACTGTACAGCTGTTGTGTAAAGACAAAATGGGCATTGAATTTAATGACTTAAATATTGAAGATTTTAGAGAGGGTATGAAATGTGCGGAAAACTTGTGGCTTTTTGTGCCTCGTATGTCTCAGATGTATTATTACCGTAATCTACATTACGACTATATTAATATACAATCTCTCGATCTGCATGCAGAAAAGCACCCTTTAAATTTGTTGATTATACATGATGAACTTATTAGAAATATATATCGACAAGATCCACGGTATGTGACTAAATGTATTTTAAAATATCATTAAAAATCATAGGTATATTAATTGATTATTCTGTATTTATTTTATAATATGTACATTTTTCAGCCAATGCAATTTAACAGAAAGATACTACAGCAAAATGATATTTTACTGTCTGTATCAAAACATTTTTTATTCTTTACATTGGAAAAAAATTAAAATAAAATCCAATCATATGCAGCGTTTGGAAGATTTAATTGTAGTATTATTACAATATTGTCATCCCAATAAAGGTATTACTATGTTGTATATAGATAAATTCATAGACAATATCGTGCAAAACGTATTAAAGTTGTTGAAAGATAAATATCCTCGGCATCCAATATTGTCCATATCATCTGAACAATTATCGATTTGGAGAAATAATCGTATTATAAAGAATTTCTGGTGCGTAAAAGACGCAACGTCGATTAAGGATGTACTCGACATAATTATTATAAGTTTTGATTCTTATAAACCATGGATGAAACCGAATCAATCATGTATGAATCCTATTTTCAAAATGTCGGTATGTTAAATTTTTTATGTATGTATTTTATTATCTATCATGAATTATATATATATATATATATATATATATATTTTTTTTTTTTAATTTATCTTAAATATAATAATAATTCTCTATTATAATAATTTTTATTATACTTTCACACTTATTATTCTTCGACAGACTAAAGAAGATACATTATATTATAAACAAACATTGTGGTTGGCAATATATATCTGCGTTGCAAATAGATTGGGTTTACATGTTGTGACAAAAAAACACAGTATAAACAATAATTATGCTCTAAATACACATTTGGTTTGGCAATCCGGGTAAATATATAATTTTATCTTTGAAATTATTTTTTTTTATTTTGTCGAGTATTCGTACTATACGCACAAATAGTTATACGGCAATACTCACATGTATATATATTAATTTATTATTATATGTATTAAATATTATTATTTGTAGTTTAAAAAAATTTGCGGGTGGTGACTTGTGTAATATTGCAACAAATTAACCAGTTAAGAAGAATCATAAACAATTATATATTTTGCAAATGTGTTACAAACAACCACAATATACAGATATTCACAGCATAGGAAGCAACCAATATAAATAAGCATTTCTTACAGACTTTAAACAATCAATATATACATTAATAACATAAAATGTTTGTAACAAACTTTAGCGTTATTTCGAACAACATATTTTTTGACCATTTATTTATTTCTGTTTATATTCTAATTTTCATATGATAGCGGCTGAAGAGACAACAGTAAATGTTGAAATGTACCGTATTTAAAGATTGTAATTTTTTGAAATAATTAAAGTTGTTTATATCTAACATCTATTTCACACTCATCAAAAGGCTTATACATAATTCACTCTGTTGTTTCTATTTAAAATACGAGCGCTAAAATTTAATAACATAAACGATATTTTTTAAATATCATTATTTTGTGGTTGTTTGTGACACAAATAAAAGAATGTTTGTCCATGATTTCCCTCTCAAATATTTTATTTATTGCATTATAATATAAGTCGATGTTAAAAAAATAATATTACATATATTAAAAAAAAAATCTTCGTTTTTGCATCAAGTTAAATTTTATAAATATCATTACAAGTTATAATTATTTTTATGTATCTTAAGTTATGCAATTAAATTATTTCAAAAATATTAATATAATATTTAATTATACAAAGTACTATATAGCTTTTTTGTAAAAAATTTATCATTGAATGAATATTATTTTTTAACATTTATATTACGCACTGATGTACATGTACATGTTATTTCTTTATTGTTTATACAGAGAGTGTACAGAAAATAGAGAATGTTTCACGTTTGAATGGACAGATAATACAGATAATGCAAAGATTTCTAACATAAGAAAATGCCAACAAGTACCGCCTCTATCTTTATTTTTTTACACAAATCCACATTTGGTAAGTAATTAATATTTATATAAAATATTGGTAGTTTTGGACTTTCACTTTCTAAAGTTTATAACTCCTAATAGGACGGACGTTTAATTCAGCGATGTTTGATATAAAAGACATAATCAGCGATGCTTCCTCTGTAAAATATTTTAAGAACATTGAAATCAATAAGCTTAATTCTAATAAATTAAAAAGAGCATATAATATATAACATTAGTTTTAGATTATAAAGTTTCGAAAATATATTTAAATGTATTTTTTTTACACACATTTATAATTTGAATTTAATCATTACATATATCATAAGTGATTTTGATTCAAAATTTAATAACAATCTTTTTTAAAGTCGTCAATATCGGTTGAAAGAACCATTTGGGATATACATGTTTTGTGGACATCTGGCCCCTTTTCCTTTTACGATTTCAATTATAAATTAGTATCATTAATTTATTATAATGAGGTAAGACAATTGAATTCACTTATTGTACAAATTATAAATTAAAGATATGTAACAAAATAACATATAATAATTATACGTGCAAAAATCTAATTATAATTATTTTTAATTTAAATTATAACATTAGTATAAATTACATAATATATATAAAAGCGTCAACTATAATAATTTTTCAGAAAATATGTACTCCAAAAGTTGAAACATTTCGGAAAAAAAGATCGCCTAATCTAAAATATGCAATTGGATTGATAGTTACACATAATCATAAAATGGAAGATAATACAAGAAAAGATGTTGCTGGGGTCATTATTGGGTGGCACAACAAATGCCACATTGAACGCTTTAAGTATGATAGTTCATATTGTAGTAGTTCGAATGATGTTACAGGAAAATGTATACAGAAAAATAACATCGATAATTGGACATTGCTACCGCATTACGTTTTGTTAAGCGAGAATGATCTGTGTTACGTTCCACAATGTATGTGTATTATATGTAATACTTCATTATACTTTATATACTGTATATTCTGTGATATTTTTGTTTATATTGTTTATGTTACATGGCATAATACATTTGATACTATATTTTTTATTTTTACGTTTTTATATTTTAGATGCTATAACATCGGTATGCAAAGAATGGATAAATAATCCAGAAGTTGGAAAATATTTCTGTAAATTTGAAGATACACATTATGTGCCAAATAACATGCTAGGACAGCATTATCCAGACGATGCCGCAGTCGTTCGCGACATATTATTGAATAATCGAAAATTATAATATTGTGAATGATGCAGAAGTGTGTGTGTCTGCTCTTTTATTAGTCCGGATTGAAATTCAAAAGATATATTGCATATAGATGCTATTTTTCGGAAAACAATAACAAATCATAGTAAATATCTTGCACAAGAGAGAAAATCCTGCTAACATAACTCGCATAAGAAATTCATGTAGAGAGAGATTTATTATCTGAGAAAAGGTTCGGATCAAAAATAGAGAATACGTTAAATTATTTTACTTAAAAAAATAT